ATTTGAAAATTATCTGGACATTATACGGATTTTGCATGTGAAATTTGAAAATTTTCTGATGCATAAAAGTATTTTTAATGTTAAAATAACAATTACTTTGCATGATGGATAGGAAACATGCGAAAATGAAAATCGACATGAGAAAAACATTGCTTTGCAAACCTTAAGACTTAATAAAAAATTTGATATTCTGTGTATGAAAGCATTGTAAAGTTTACTGATAATCTGCAAAATTTCATTAACATATGTTTATTAATTTAAAAGTTATAGCATGAAAACTATAACAAGCACAAAATGGTTATGAGGTCGGTCCCAGGGACCAAGCCTATGCTGAAAGAGTTAACAGGGATAAAGTACTAAAAAAGGGGGGGATGAAGTTACAGCTCGTGTTAGTTCATGATATCAATATTAACAGCAGCAGGGTTCAATCTATTTCTGTTTCTGTTAGTGGTTATAAGGGGAGAAGGCTTTTAGTTGAAATTTGTTACAGACCATCATATGAAATTAATGAGAAACTACAGTGAGATAAAGAATTCAACTGTTAAAGAGATTATAATTATGGGAGATTTTAATTTTAGACATGTAGATTGGAAAATGTTAAGAGTCAAATAATGAGGGAGACAAGTTTTTTTAGAAACTGTTCAGGATAATTTTCCTCAACAATTGATTAGGGAACCTACTAGAAACAATGCTATTCTAGATTTACTGTTAACTTCTAATAAAGAAATGGTTGATAGGGGTGGAGATTGGGGAACATCTGGGTGCAAGTGATCATTGCTTTATCAGGTTCGATGTTTTGTTGCATATGGCGATAAGAATTAATGAGATTTGGTTTCTAGATTTCAAAAACAAATTTTGAAAAGATAAGACAAGAATTACCTGCTGTGAATTGCACAGTTGAATTAGTTGGAGATTCTGATCAAATCTGGAAAAATTTTCAATAATAAATTCTAAAGTATTCAAGATAGAAATACTCCTTATAGATAAAATAAAATAGAAGGTGGCTATGAGTAAAAAACTAGGTTGGCTTACAAAGGATATAAAGAATAATATTAAAGAAAAGCATTATAAATATAAGAAGATTAAGTTGAAACTGACTGAAATGATGAGAGATTTGAAGGATTGTTGTAGATCAAGAGAGTTGGTCAAATAGGAAATTAGGAAATAAAAAAAAGATTGGCCGAAAATGTAAAAATTAATATAAGGATTTCTTCATATACATTAATGGTAAGAAGAGTGTTAGGAAGAAAATAGGGAAAATTAAATATAGAAATAAGATAGAATGAAATAAGACCTGTTCTTTTTTATTTTCTTTTTGCCCTGCTGTGGGTCATTAGTAAGTTTACAGATTTACAACACTATAATCCAGGGTTCAATTCATTGTGGTGGACAGAGCATAGATAACCACTTGTGTAGCTTTACATTAAAAGAACCATTTTTTTTCAGTGTTTGATCTTTGTTTTTATATAGTGTTTTTATTTCATGTCAAGGCATTATTATTATTATCTGAATTGAACCAACTTTATTGTTTTCAATATGATTTTTTAAGGCATTAGCTAAACTTGGTTTACTCCAAAATGAAGTAGAAAATATCTCATGTGGATCATTATTACAAACAATAACCGGAGTGTCAGAATTAGAAGCAATTTCCCTGGGTGAACTGAAACAAATAAAAGACCAGCTTAGGAATGAACTAGACAGACTGGAAAAGGTAGGTCTGCTTTTTTATGAACATAATAATAATGAGTTATCACACAGTCATTTAATTTCTATCAAGAAGAAGGAGTTTATTAAATAAGACATTTGTAAAGGATATATAAAACTTTATTAAGTGTTTAAGAATTTTATTTCATTGTTTTTCCTGTTTTCCACATACTTTCCAAATAGTTAATCAATTCTGTAGCTTTGCATCAAAAGAAACAACCAAAGGAAAGGTTTTGTGTTTTTTCCACAATTAAAAAAATTGTGATTTTAAAAGTTGCAAAGTAAAATTTGATAAAATAAATCGCTGTTTAAAACCCAGTTACTTTTTAGAACTTTTATTTTGTTCTGCATTATTATTACTAAACAACATTTGAATTTTTAATCTTTATAGTATATTATTATATATTGATCAATGTTATTCAATTAAGTTTCGGCAATTATTATTATTACAATTCCTTTTTATATTGTATTTTTGGTCTAGATTGTGATTTGAAGAGCCATGTTAAAATACTATACTATTATATAGCTTCAGAATAACTTAGAACAAGTCTTGGCTCTTTGATGTTTGTCATCCTATTAATGTTGTATAATTTAAACAAAAAGGTAGTGTATTCAAATGTCCTTTTAAAGACTATAAATGCATGTGCAAATACATTATATTGAAAACCTATTTATGACTAAGGTAGATTTATAGGTAAGAACAAGGCTTAGCTTTAACTCAGTAATGTTTTAAAATCTGCTTAAATAATTATTGATTGGCATGTTTTCTTTTTCTTTTAGGTGATTTATCATAAATCAGCAACAAAATGTATGGTATGTGAAAATCAGAATCGTAGTGTAGCCTTGTTACCATGTAATCATTACGTATTGTGTAACCAGTGTGCCCTCCACCAGTTGAAATGTCCTTACTGCCAGGCTGACATTGCCCAGCGATCAAGCATGACCTTGCCATTATAAAGTCGTTTTCTCTATAGATTTTTGTAATTGTGTTTGATGAAAATAAAAGAAATTGGAAGTGATTTGATATAAACTAAAGCTTTTTTTTCAATTGAACTCCCAAAGAAAGTTTAATTTTGTGGTTTTTAATACTTACAACTATTCAACAATATTATTTTTTTTTACCAAACAGAGTACAAAAAAGTGTAAATTTAGATATCATTGTAAAAGATTTATAGGATTTTAAGTTATCGATTATGAATATATCTGGCACAAAAACATTATTCTTTCTGGGAATTTTTGCTGTGCTTACCTCTACAAAAAATGTTTAGGTGTGTAAGAAACAGTGAGTAAGATAGATTGGTGTGTGTCATCTGAATGGTATTAACCTTCACAATTGCTAGATTTAAATGTATTATGTGACAGGTTACTTATGTAGGCTTAGCTCTATAAGTGTATGATGTTGTTAAGGTTCAGTAAGCTGCTGGAGAAAACTAGTATTTTTTGACTATTAGTGTAAATTATATAGAAATTGTTGACTTTTTCAATAGCAGTGGTGATTTTGTTTTATAAGAAAAAGCAAAAACTTAAGAACAAAAAAAAAGATATTTTTGCACATCCCACTACATTTATCACAATTGATTGGTTTTTATTTTTTTCCAAAGGGGTATCAAAAATTAAATCAAACAAGAAAGTTAAACAGGCACTAAAAGTTTTCTAAAAACTGTTCACCAAAAGATGTTACATTTTCAGGTATAAATTGAATACATTGTTTCAATTTGTACATTACATTATTTATTATTAAATCCACCTGTGGCCAAGAAGTATCCTTGAAAGGTATCAAATATATTTTAATGTAATATTTTAGAAAAATTTCTCTGTGACAAAATACAAGCAATATGGGCCAGTAAACCAGAGTTAAGATGTTAAATCATATCTTATACTTAAATTATAATTATTTCTCATAGTTGTTGGGTGTATAGACTGTCTCAAATTATATTAGACCATGATAAAAAAAAAATTGTAAAGTATATATATATATATATTAGAAGTTTTGTGAACTATTTTCTTTCTGAGCTATAGTAAATCATGTCTTTGCCCTTGTTTCTCTAAGAAATATATATATCTATATGCAATGAAATAAACTATTCTTTTATGTGTCTCTTTAGTATCTTGATAAAGCAACATAATAAATCATGTTTATTCATATGAATAAAATTTGCTTAGTGTTTTAGAATGTTAAAAATTAGCTATCCATTGATAAACTGTCACAATGTTTTGAAAAGTTAATAGTAGCCATTTTGTCAAACAAAAAATTTGAATGTATTGCAGCTTCATTTTCAACAGAAAAGTAAGCTTGCTAACTGTTTTTGTGAGAAGATGAATTAAATGGTGGGAATAGTAAAACTTTGTGTTAGGTAGAAGCCAGACTTGTATTTTGTATATTTAGCTTCAGAACAGTTACTAGTAAGACTTGTTTGGGTAAAGATGAATCTTGCAAGCAATTGTAGACGAAAGAAGTAAGATATATCCTAGTAAAGTGTAGTGTAAATACTGTGTTTTTTCAATATTATGCTGTATTTTGTTTATTGTGGCACAAATAATATTAGTAGAAAGTATATGTGATGCTTTGAAATTTCTCAGATTTCAAGCATATTGATATAAAATGTTCAATTAGTTGTAGGCTTATAGGAAGGAACTCAACTTAAATAAACTATATATATATATTTATGTAGCATTTGAAAAAAAAATGTTTTTCAGGAAATATTAGTTTACATTAAATCTAATTGTTACTTAGCAAGAAAGAATACATTTCTTACTTTCCACCCATGATGTGTACTTGTGAACAATTTAAGTGAAGTCTCAAGTGGGTGATTTAATAAATGAAAATGTTTGTTTTTTTCTTCATTTTTTTGTCAAGATGATACACTATCCAAGTTGTCACTTTGTGTTCTGTTTTATTTCCCATAAACTTAACAGCTTTGTGCAACTATAGTTTGAACCTTAGAAACATAATGTCTGAAGATAAACAAATGTTTTGTAAAAACTTAAAGTGTAGCTTGTTTTTTTATATGTTTAACACTAATACAAAATTCATAGTTACTAGAATTGGAATTTTTTGAAAATATTGAATATTTCTTAAAATTTAAAAGTTATTTTTTTAAAGTACATACTTAAAAGAGTTTTTGAACTGAGGTGACACTTTGCAAAATTAAATTGGTATAATGTTGATACAGCCATTTGTTGCTGTTATAGTAATGATTTTTTTTTAAGTGCACTGTACTTAAGATAGGTGCATTTATCAATATATATCTGTTTATATGTATATATCAAGTTGAGAAGTAATGCAAGAGTAGCGTGATCAATAGTGATGGATGTTAGTATAATGACAACCTGAAAGTAAGGGTACCTATTTTCTGACAGCTGCAGTTTTCAGTTGTTCTCTGAGTAACAATATTATTTCTTTTAGACTAAGAGCACTAGGTCAGTGTTCAAATATTTTCTCAAAAAAACTTGGAAAATTGATGTTGAAAAGTGAAATCTTAGGTTTCTGGAATGTAAATAAGTTCCGAGATGAGACCCCCATTTTGTGGAAGATCACTTTGGGTCCTTTATAAATGATGATACTGTGAAATGCTAAATATTTTATTTAGGTGCTGCTTAAAAATATAGAGGTAATTTGTTAGTTTTTTTTACAAGATTTAAATGGAGTATGAAATTGTTGGATGCTTGTGATAAACATTTGTATTTCAAAAACAGTTAAATCAGATTTTTTTATGTCTATTAAAAGTTATTTGAATTCTTCAGTTAAGTTTGTGTAAACTTCTTTAAGAAAATTGAACAAGTTTGGTAAAAATGCTGGAGTGTAAAATTATGGCTATGTCACATTTGTTCATTGTCTTGCTTAACACTGCTTGTTAGAAAGTTTTAATGACTTTACAAATTCTTCAGACTATTTTTTTTAACTTTTATTTCTTCTTTGCTTGTTTCTGAATATAAACAGAGAAAAATTTGGAAAAGAAAATTTATTTGAAAAAAAAAAGAGAAATAATAAATCTATCCTGATAATAAAAGTTGTGTAGTATATTCGCTGTTTGCACACCATTTTGGTAAACCTTTGAAAAAAATTTTTTTTTTCTTTTTTAATTAAAGGAACTTAACCACCTTATGAGACAACTTTGCTTCCAAGATCTCAAACTAGAATTTTCTTTTGAAAAAATTAATGAGTTAGCATCAATTATAAGAGTATTACTTTTTCTGTTGACACCAGAGTATAAATATTACGAGATTTCTCACCTGTATTCTTGTAGCATTTGAAATTTATTACTTTCAGAATTTCAAACCTGCCATTTTACATGATTACGTAATTAGTCTGTTATCACATTTTTATTCGGGATTATTCACAGGTGTAACACAATAAGATTTTATTTTTTCCGTGGGAGGGGGGGTCGCCGGTATTTTTGTAAGCCACGAATTTTTTTCACCAGGTGGCTAGTGCAGCCGGGTAACCGTATAGGACAAGCCTGTTCTACGATAGAGATCCGAACTCGCGACCCTCAGATTGCGAGTCGAGCGCTCTAATCACCGGGCCATGCCAACACTTTAACACACGCACTGAAATGTATATTTCTAAAATTTCTTTGATACAGATGCATTATTACATCCATATCCCTAAAATTGTTTTTTTTTTTTTTCTTAACTGAGTTTTATAAAATAAAAATTCATAAGGACCTATTAATAGACGGGTGGCCTATGGCGTCTTTTGAAATGTTTCAGTAATTAGTTAAGGTAGCCGTAATGTTAAATATAAGTATTAATTGCTTTAAAGTTGAATGAGAAAATCTAAATGTGAGGAGTTTGTCGGTATGCGAGCATTACTTTTTTTTTTTTTCGTTATTTAAGGCTTTTTGTTTTTTAATGAAAGTACTACGGAATTACAAAGGTAATGTTACATAATCTACTTATATTTTCAAATGGACACAAATGAATCTGCTTTAAGAATATTCTTCCTTGCTCTAAAAGTTGTAACTTGTAATTAAAAAATATACACAAACTGATACCAAACGCATAACACTGACAGAGGAAAAATGTAAAGTTTTCTAATGATATTTTTGGCCTTAGATTCACGATATTCAATAATTACTGTTCAAAATCATGAAAGTTTAACTTATCATTTTACATTTCAAAATACTTTATTTCCAACAAAATATCGTAGGTCCAAGATTGCACGATACTTTCAAGTTTTAGGTAGAGCTACTTTTGACGCAAAAAGGGATTCTCTTTGACTATTTTCAACCAATCACCATGTAATATACCAACGAATAGCTTTTGACAATGTATCTTGAAATGGCCAATCGTGGAAGAGCTTTAAAGCTCCAATGAGAAGTAAAATATTTGCTGACGTATTTGTAGTATGTGATGTCATATTAGACGTGATCGTCGTGTCCGTTAGTTTTAGCGCAAAATCATTGTTTTGTCATTGTGAAGAGTATCTTATTCTTAGAAGTCTCGTATTGGAATTTTAGGGTTCATTTTACAGTTTATAGGTAGGCTAAGTTTATCCATAAGTTTGTAGTTTAAATTTACTTCCATTAGAATATAATTACATCAAACGTAATAAAGTAACTCTTACAAAAGTGTAAAAAAGTATACATCTGAAGTTAAACTTAACGATAAACGTTACATGTCAGACTTTTATTAGTTTTATTCCAAACTTGGCAAAAGTACTAACTTAGGGTAAACCTGTCTCGTTTGTTAAACTTATATATTACGTTTAAGTTAAAAAGTTATCATTATTGACATTAGGTAATGACGAGCATTAACAAGTATAACTTTTGTAAGGCTAACAGTAAGAAGTTAATTCATCTGATTATTTAACAGTAATTGTAAATGACATTGTAATTTGTATTACATTTAAAATACCAATAAGTTGCTTTACTTACCAAAGGCACAAGTGACAGCTCGATGTCAAGATAACTTGTGCTACTTCGTCTTCGGTATTTACTAATTTCGGTCTGCTCGGATGTCAAAGCTTGTTTTTTGTTGTTTTTTTTCCTCGGGATAGTCACACTGCCAACAAACTTCATTTAATAATCGTGGGCCTTTTTTTTTTTTATTTCAGTGGAACTTTAAGCAGAGTAGACAGTATTTTTCTTTGTTGTCTTTATCGTTTCTTACCTGTCATTTTGAATCATTAGGCAAAATTACTTAAGTGACAGTACCCAGTAGGTTTAGGAATTGGAATACAGGAACTTGCTTGCCCTGTTTCTGTTTTTAGTTTTTTGTTGCAAGTGCCTGGTTTGTTTACTGAAACAAATTTAATTTGATGTATCAGTGTTAGTCGTAACTTGTTAGTGTGACTTTTGTAACATGGGTGTTCTCTGCAAGCATCACAATTTCAACAAATTTAATCCATGTTTTTAATATAGAAATATATTGCTTGGTAAAGGTGATTATGATCATTAGAGTAACGGAAAAGTAAATTATTTTCAGTTTTAGTCTTGTGTATTGTTCAGAATACAGATATTTTGCTATGTGTTTTAGCAATAATGATTTGAATTTGGTCTGTGATACCTGACCTCTTCACATTGTATTTATGCCAGTTTGTAAAGACAATTCCAAGCATTGATTTATCCCAGATAGTATTCTCCTTTTTAAAATACAGTTATAATTTTTGTTCAAAATTTGCAAACCTTGGATCATTGAATAATGCATTTTCTAGATTTGCAAATTACCCTGAAAATCTTAAGGAATATTGTGTAAATTTGATTTTTTCCCAATGAAGCATGTTGGAGAGTCTGACTGATTTATCTGTTAGTATGCTTGCACTAGCTATAACCTTGAAGAAGATTAACCATTATTAAAATTGGACTTATTTATTAATTAAGGAGTTCAAAGGATTTCCTTGAATTTTTTCCACCTCTACTCAACTTTACTAATACAAATTGCTGTGTTAAAGTTTAGCCTTTTTATTGGCTTTAGTTCCATGGATCTTTAGTCTTCTAAGTTATACTTCTATTTATTCTTCTCATATCTTAGAAACAAACTTGTTTTTTTAACCTCTTGTGTGATCATAATTCCACTATTGTGAATGTTGTTGGTGTCATGTTACTGTACTTTGACATGGTTTACATCCATCTAAACAGTATTTTTATAACAGTCGATGTGTAGTGTATGCATGGTGAGTCTGTTATTTGAAAGGTTAGTTATGGTTAAGCTTTTTTTTTCTGTAGGTATTCATTAAATCATGGCTCGTACAAAACAGACTGCTCGAAAGTCTACTGGTGGTAAAGCTCCTCGTAAACAGCTAGCTACCAAAGCAGCTCGTAAGAGTGCACCATCCACTGGTGGTGTGAAGAAGCCTCATCGTTACAGGCCAGGTACTGTTGCCCTTCGTGAAATCAGACGTTACCAAAAGTCCACTGAGTTGTTGATTAGAAAGTTGCCATTCCAGCGTCTGGTTAGAGAGATTGCACAGGACTTCAAAACAGACTTGAGGTTTCAGAGTGCTGCAATTGGTGCTTTACAGGTGAGTGTTCAGTTAACACAATGTGCATTATTTATGAAGGGTTTGTAGCATACAATAAAACTACAGAGGTGAAAAGGAACATAACTGAAATGAAATTATAGTAGTTAGTTTTTATACCATTAGAAATAACATATTTAACTTATTAAAAAAATGTATGCTTTACAGGTTTATTGACGTGAGTTATAAAAAACGTTTAGGTATGGACTGTAGTTGAGCTTTAATTCTGGGGTTATACAATAGTTTGTGCAAGACAAATTTTGTTTATTAAACAACCTTATTTTATATGGTTACCTTTTTTTTATTATTATTATTATTATTATGGAAGTTGTAATTTGGTGAATTTTCTTTTCATTGATGTTTAGGAAGCTAGTGAAGCATACCTTGTAGGTCTGTTTGAAGATACCAACTTGTGTGCTATCCATGCTAAACGTGTCACTATCATGCCAAAAGATATCCAGTTGGCAAGAAGGATCCGGGGAGAACGTGCATAAATGCCTTTTTGGTTCACAATTTTCAGTAAATACGTCTACCTATCACCAGTTTCTTCGTGTACCATTTCAGAACGTTTTTACTTGCAAATGACTGATGGAATGATCTTTGAATTTAACCATCTTTGTCTCCAGATCATTTTGTAAAATTTAGGTTTGTAA